AGAGGAAAAGTTTTTGGAACTAGGATTCTGATTCTGTTTCTAATCCAAAATTCAAATACCTAATTAATAACAAAAAAATAAATGAATAAAATGTGAAATATTTGTCATAATTTTAAAATTGAATTTTTTATTGGGATATCTTTTTATATCTTGTGTTAAAAATTTTCAAACAAAAAATTTTTACCAATGAACTAAGGCACTTTTAAAATAGTATAGGAAAAGTTTTTTGAACTAGCATTAATAATAATTTTTCAAAATAATTATAATTTTTTTCTTAGGGGCAAAGCTGATTTCCTTTGCAAGTTTTTTTCAGAAATGATGGTATAAGTGTCAGTGATAGACAGCAAATATAGGGACAAATAGCATCCATAGGCTTCATGAAATTAATGCAAAATAATAACTTGAGTATGAAGAATGATTTAAATTGAATACTGGAAATTCTTACCCACTTCTCCTTTTTGACAAATTTCTTACAACTGCTGCTTGCGTTGTTCTAAGAATGCAAAATAAGAAAAACCAATTAGAATTATTAATTTATTGTAAATGTTTAAATTACTATATATATTAGAATTTTAATTTGCTTTCAGATTGATTAAAATAATTTCCCTTTTTTTTTTACCAATAAGTTAAGATTTCAATATTAACGCGGTCAAGAAAAATTATTGTTATAATAAAGGGTGAATATATATGGAACAGATAAATACACTAGACAACATTTGGAAACGCTAATTCTAGCAACCATAGTTGAGCACACATCATTTCTTAATGAAACGGCGATTCGTCGAATACTGGATTTTACTTCTCGAGTTCTAAATATAATGTCAAAAATTTTGGTAACATATTAAATCATAACTTCGATAGTACACATTTACTGAAATCTGAATAATGTAACCGGCTATCTCTTTGCAGTTTACTATGGTACAACTGGGATGGAATCATTATTTTAATATCACTGCCTTAAATGATCAAGACAATAGTTGGAAAAAATGAGATCATGATATATATACATAATCATACACTAATTAACATGATTCAAAAATTATCAAGTCTTCTAAATTCCAGTTGTATCTAAAAGTATTTGATTTTGTCTTTTTTGGAAATATATCAACGCGACAACTATTCAAATTAATAATGAGGTTGTATTAATATTGCGCGATCGTTATTGACAACTCTTTCTTTATTTTTATGATTACCAGAGTACAAACAAATCTCAATATATATATATATATATTTATATATATATATTAATTCTTGCATATGGCATCATCTAATGGAATGCAATATTTTAAAGCCTATCTTAGAATCAAAACTAGAAAAAGCAAATCTATGATCTTCTATCTATCACTCTCTATATATCTCTACAAATCTATCGTTATCTATCACTCTCTCATCAGCATATAGATTATTAATTAAATTATAAGGTATAAATTAACTACGTTTTAATATCTATAGTGGTATGAATTTAGTTGTTTATATTTGATCGCATTACCTTGCTTGTATCTGTTCTTGCTGTCTTTGAATTTCTCTCCATTGCTCTTCAGAATCAACCAACTCATACGTGCTTCCATGCCTGAAAGAAATTCCATGATATTTATTTATTTTATTACCGTCGTTGAACAGCTAACCCAATTTTTGAGTTTGCGACTACCATTGTTCAACTCCGTAGCCTTATAATTTTGAACTCAATCCAGATGTAAAAGAACTCCTAATGTCATGTATTGGGAAAAATTCGCCTTCGTGGAGGACTTTTTGATGGAACTAACCAGTATTTGCTTTATATGAAGAAGAAAACCACGAGAACCTCCCACAGTTAACCTGGCGGCAAGGAGACTCTAACCCATGATCCGTTTACCACTGAGAATATTTTGCGTCAGCACTGTGATCGGTGCGATCTGGGTGCGTAATTCGTGTCGACCAGCCTTCACTAGGATTCGAACCCTCTATCCCCTAGCCACCGTGGGTCTTATGATTTTGTTGTTGTTGTTGTTAATTTAC